TCCAGGGCCATAAAATAATTGACATGAATCTTGAAGAAAGGCAGATTTTCAAGCAAATACATAAATTATGTATTTGCTTGAGGAAACCTTTCCATAAGAAAAATGCATTGTTTAGCTCAAGATTTGAGATAAAGTTGAGCTCCAGTAGAACCAGGTGACAACACAGGATTAGAAGAGAAAAAAAAGTCTGCCACTTGCAGTTTTATTTCCTCCTGCTACCTGGGAACCTCTGGCCTCCCTACGGAGGCTATTAATATTCTCAGGCTCTAGAACATATCTCCTGTAGATGGACTAGAATTAGAGCTTGTGTTTTCTATTTTTAAAACAGTCTGAGAGCCTCTGTCTTTTGATTGGATAGTTTTATCTATTTACATTTAATGTTATTATAGATATGGTTAGATGTATGTCTACCCTCATGCTTGTTCTATATGTTTCATTACTAATTTGTTCCTCTATTCTTCCTTTACTAACTTTGATTAAGTGGTTATTTTCTACTATAACATTTTAATTTCTTTAATTTTAATTATGTTTTTTGAGTTATTTTCTTAAGAGTTGCTTTAGGGTCTAGATAGCATGGCATACTAATTTAAATGACAGAAAATGCTAATAGAAAATAATGCTCCAAAATATACGTAATTTAACACATAACCCACTGAAATAACTTTTCACATTCCTTCTATTCTGCTGATGCAAGACATTTAAAATGTAGTACCTGATTGGGCGGCCAAAGCAACAATTCTGCATGGTAGAAGTGGTGCCCAAATATTTTGTGAGCTAAAATGTGGGGAGACATGCTAGTAAACTATTTTGACAATTTAGGGTAGAGATTTTAGATTTAAGACTTTACTGGAAGAAGTAGGAAAAGGATAGATTCAGAAACTGTTATGGAGATAGAATCAATAAATCCGCTGTAAGGATGTGACTGACACTGTAGATGGTGATATTATTTACAGATATGCAAAAAAGTTTTAAGAAAGAATGAATTAGTTTTTGCCACATTAATTCCAAGGTGCTAATTATATATCCAAATGAAAACAAAGCAGGTATTAGGTGATATGTATTTTGAGTTCAGTAAAGAGGTGAGTCAGATATATATACTGAAAGTCACTGGCATAGAGATTATATATGTGAAATCATAAATTACATTTTCTCAAAAGAAAAAGCAGGTTAAGATTTGAGTGCCAGTGACTCACCAACATTTTAGAGGACAGAGATGACTAAGGAGCAAAAGAGGCTAAGAGGCAGTAGACAGTTTAATAAAGGAAACACCATAAATATGTATTGTCATGACAAAAGAGATAATATTATTAGAAGAAGTGTAGTGAACTATGCCAAATATTTCTGACTTTTCAAGTAAGATAAATGTTACCAAGGTCATTTGTGACCTTGAAAAGAAGTTTTAAATGCTATCATTTTACTTAATACAGATGTTGTAACTGCTTTAACATAGATTGGGGGTGGGGGAGTGATTCTGTATGTCTTCCAAAGATAAGTCACAAAAGAACACATGCCTTCTTCATGGGTGTCTTTCTCTCAGGACACTCCTGATGTGAGGAATTCCAGACTATCCCACTTGCAAGGATTATTAGAGAAGGTCATGTGGAGACAAACGAGATCGATCCACAAGTGACAGAACTTATTACATTGCCAGCTATGTAAACAAACAAGCTTTCAGGTGACTCCAGCCTCCAATTTTCATACCTCCAGCTGAGACCCCATACGTTTGGGAGGAGTAACACATCATCCCTGCAGTACTTTTTCCAAAGTCATGACCCTCAATAAGACAATAAATAGTACAAAATGCAATGGAGTAAAACAATTATGTTTTGTAGCCATGGTAACTGGACTATATAACTAGAATTCAAGGAGCAAAGAGGAGATAAATGGGGCTGGGGAGAGGGGACAGAGAAGAACATGTTGCTAGAAGATGGGTGAACTCTCAAGTGCTTTGAAGGCCTTTATAAAGACTTTGGCTTTTATTGTGGGATAGGAGAATTTGGAACATTCTGAACATAGGAGTAGCATGATCTATGTCAAAATATGTGTTTGCTGCTTTTTGACATGGCAAATTTTGGGCGTTCTTTGTGTTCATTATTATAAACTAATACAGCTCTGTTACAGTAACTTTTTACCCAGTAGTAACTTTCTACTTCAAAGTTCTTGGAAAAGGAACTTTAGTTTCTTAGCAAAGAAGTCATAAAATACAGTAGGCAATTCTATATGATTTTCACTTCAGGTTCCTGTTTTTATGAAGGAAGCTATTTACAAATAACTATTAAAAGACATAAACCAAGGTGGCAGTCTTAATATTTATCTCTTCTTCTAATTATAACAAAGATGAACACATTTTGAGCAGAATATAATTTGGTTGTATTGCAAATTCTTATCTAAATTAATACTCAAGAAGGGAAAAAATATTTTGGAACTGCAAATGTCTCTTAAATTCCAGCACAAATGTTGTGCTCCAACTTTGATGCCTGCTTGAAAATGACCATTCATTTGGATAAAAATTGAAAATACCAGAAAATATCAGAGATATGCTACTCTAAAACTTGGTTTTAAAATTTTCTAAACACTAATAATATGTTTGATTTAGGTTATACCTGAATGGTCTAGTGGTTTTCCCTACTTCCTTCAATTTAAGTCTGAATTTGGCAGTAAGGAGTTAATGATCTGAACCACAGTCAGCTCCCGGTCTTGTTTTGGCTGACTGTATATAGCTTCTCCATGCTTGGCTTCAAAGAATATAATCAATCTGATTTTGGTATTGACCATCTGGTGTTGTCTGTGTGGAGTCTTCTCTTGAGTTGTTGGAAGTGGATGTTTTCTATGACNTGTTGGAGAAGACTCTTGAGAGTCCCTTAGACTGCAAGGAGATTCAACCAGTCCATCCTAAAGGAAATTAGTCCTGAATATTCATTGGAAGATCTATTGCTGAAGCTGAAACTCCAATACCTTGGCCACCTGATGGGAAAAACTGACTCATCGGAAAAGACCCTGATGCTGGGAAAGACTGAAAGCAAGAGGTGAAGGGGACAACAGAGGAGGAGATGGTTGGATGGCATCACCAACTCAATGGACATGAGTTTGAGTAAGCTCTGGGAGTTGGTGATGGACAGGGAAGCGTGGTGTGCTGCAGTCTGTGGGGTCACAAAGCGTCAGACATGACTGAACGACTGAACTGAACAGTATGTTTAGGGTTTCTCAAGTGGTGCTAGTGATAAAGAACCCATCTGCCAATGCGGGAGGTATAAGAGCCACAGATTCTGCCCCTGGGTTGGAATATTCCCTGGAGGAGAGCATGGCAACCCACTCCAGTATTCTTACCTGGAGAATCCCATGGACAGAGGAACTTGGCAATCTATAGTCCATAGGGTCACAAAGAGTTGGACATGAGTAAACTGACTTAGCATACATGCACACAGAAGTATGTTTGTAACAAAATCAATGTTTTTCCATGAAAAATGATACATTATCATATTTGTAGTTTTATAAAAAAATATTTTTACCAACTGTATTATTTTTTCTGGGATGAAAACATCTTAAGTTGCCATAACTATAAATATTGACTATAACAATATCTAAATTATTATGTTTCAGTTCTTTTATGAAACTTGTAAAATAAAAGACAGGAAAAAAAAAAGATAGGACATCTACTGTAATTAAGTAGTGAGCAAGTAGAACACATACTTTCCAGAAGGTATAAAATAACCTTAATGAAGAGAGAAGATCTCAACACACACAGTCCACTTATGATGCCTCCGAATAGTTAGACTTCCAAACCATTAAATCAAGTATTTAACAAAATTTGAATCCAAAGAGACTATTTTTTTCTTTTATATAACAAACTAATTATACTATCATGGAGCAGTTGGGGGAAAAGCCAACCTAAAAATCAAATTGCAAGATAAAATAAGCACATACTGAAACACGTGATAGTTTGTTTTTAAACAGCATCTATATTTTTAAATGGCATAATTATTTTTGATACTGTATTTAGTGCAGCTAACAGTATTGCTTCAAAAATTTTAACTAACTCACAATAAAAGATTTTCATAATGCACCTCTGCTAGATGTGTATATCAGAGGAAAGAGTCATTAGCAAATGTTTTTCCACAGCTACAGATTTAATCAACACAGTTCAGAAGTGAAGTTAAAACTCATGATTTCCATGTCTAAGTGAAATCATGATAGCCCTAAAAGTTTTTCCTTGATCTCATCTTTACCACCTATGAGCTTTGAGTGTTGTCATTTTAAGCTAGTATTATGAGAAATAAATGTAAAAATCAGGTCCTCCCATCAGATGAAAAGTACTGGAGTAAGAAATGAATTTGATTTTCCATTTACCCTATCATCATAGAAAGTTTCATTGTCTAATATATATATATTTTTTTATTTTTTAATGTTTGAAGTTGACCCTAGAAACTTCCAGCTGAAACCACCATTTTGATTTTTTTTGCTAACATTTTTATTCAAATTCACCTTTTGGTAAGCTGGTTTGAGGTAATTACATTTTTCTATATGTGAGGACTACAGACTGTGATGAAATAATCCCTTGCAGCCAACCTGTTTCTTAATATGGGCAAAGTTAATTTCAGAAATGATCTTGAAGATTTGACAAAATTATTATAAAATACTCATTTATCAGAAAAAAATTGGCATTGCACTATTTGAGACAGATTTACACTATTTAAAGATGTCACTCAAGATTGCCCTAAAAGTCAAATAATTGAGTCATAATATAATGTACTATGAATAATATAAAGGACTTTCTCTATTATCAGAAATGTGGGTCTTTGGTTTTCTGATTCCACAGTTTATAAAGGAACTAAATTTTTTTGAAGGATCTAAATTTGTTTGAAGTAAAATTATTAAAAATAACTTTATGCAGTGGTTATTGACCTGATTTTATGAAAACACCTATTCTGTCTCCTCTCCCTCCAAGGAGGTTTTACTGAATTTTATTTCTTATGTATTTATTTGGATTGTCTTCCAATCAGTGAATACTTGTTTCCTTGTTGTAAACATCAATGCCTCAGGGAGTGAAACCCAGAAATCAAATAGAATTTGATGTTCATCTTTTCATTTATCAGGTAAACCTAGTTATCTATATTTTAAAAGCATATAGTACTATTTTATAGTATGTATAACACATATACTTCTATGCATAAAGAATCATGTGTATAGTATCACATGTGTGTATAGTTACATTTAAATATTCTATCATGCTAGATAACAATAGAGATATTACACAATTGTGAATGGAATTACATCTGATGATTGGAGGGTGAAAGTACACCCTTTAGCAGAAGGGTGAAAGTACAGTGCCACAATGAGAAGGATGAAAGAAAGTTTACACCAGAAATGAGAAAGGTACTTGTTGAAAAGAAACGGAATAATAAGGAGCAAAACATTTACTTAGTTACTGTGCTAGTGAACAACTCATTTTCTGTCCTTACCCCGTATTTCCAACATCAGGATTTTCCCTTGGATTAAGTTGGAGAAGAAAATGGCAACCCACTCCAATATTCTTGCCTGGAGAATCCCATGGACGGAGGAGCCTGGTGGGCTACAGTCCATGGGGTCGCTAAGAGTCGTACACGACTGAGTGACTTCACTTTCAGTTTTCACTTTTCATGCATTGGAGAAGGAAATGGCAACCCACTCCAGCGTTCTTGCCTGGAGAATCCCAGGGACGGGGGAGCCTGGTGGGCTGCCGTCTGTGGGGCGCACAGAGTCGGACACGACTGAAGCGACAGCAGCAGCAGGTGGTGGTCAACACAATTTTTTTCCATGAGTGATTTTCCTTTTCTAACCCCATTCCTAAAAAGTCATAGACTTTTATAATAGACTTTCCATAATAACTTCAGGAAAATTCTGAGCTTAATATGATCAGATCTACGTGGGACTTCAATGCAATATCTCATACTTTGAATCTACTTGATTGCAGTTTATACCCTCTTACTGTTGTAGTTCAGCAAATTCAAATTTTCAACACTTACTGAGACTGCTGAGCATAGCATCTTTTATCCTATATATATGGTTACTGGAAAATAAGCATCAAGAAATATACAGATAAATGGGGGGAGGGCAAAAGAGGATGGAGGTGAGGAGGGAAAGATTGCTGTAGCTTTTAGTTGAAAATAGTCATCAGGAAGTATATAACTGGCAAGGAAAAGAGAAGAGGGAAACTTAGCTATGGATTTACTGTGGGAAAATGACGAATATGAGAAGAGGAATAATAATAAAGCCGCATTCTGCACCATGATTATCTGTTTAGGGGAAAGGTCTACAAAGATCAGAAGAGGATTTAGTTGAGAAAGAATGGAAGACAAGAGGAAATGTGAAGAGGAAAAGTGAAAAGAATAGAGAGGTAAGACAAGATTACTTTTCATAATAACTTCTTTAATAATCTTTGGTCAACATAATATTCAGAATGAATGAATGTCTATAATAATAGGAATGTTTAGCTCTTTTATGGAGTGTAAGCTACTTGGTGGCAAAGACCTTAACAGATCTTTCAATAATCATGTAACGTGATTACATGCACCTTGTAGGAGATCAGGAGACTTGAGGTGTCTGTTGTGATAACTCTAGAGTAAACTTACCATCAATATATTAATATAAAAAAATAGAAATGAATCAGTGACTTCTTTAGTAGGACAACAGGATGCTGTAACTATTAATACCTCTTTTTGCAATTTACTAAAAAATACACCTAGTCACTTTTATATTTTTTTCTTTGTACTGTATTTTCTGCATATGTAAACTCATACCCATATAATCCATGTGGAAAAGTTATGGGAAAACCAAGTACGCACAGAGTCGGACACGACTGAAGCGACAGCAGCAGCAGGTGGTGGTCAACACAATTTTTTTCCATGAGTGATTTTCCTTTTCTAACCCCATTCCTAAAAAGTCATAGACTTTTATAATAGACTTTCCATAATAACTTCAGGAAAATTCTGAGCTTAATATGATCAGATCTACGTGGGACTTCAATGCAATATCTCATACTTTGAATCTACTTGATTGCAGTTTATACCCTCTTACTGTTGTAGTTCAGCAAATTCAAATTTTCAACACTTACTGAGACTGCTGAGCATAGCATCTTTTATCCTATATATATGGTTACTGGAAAATAAGCATCAAGAAATATACAGATAAATGGGGGGAGGGCAAAAGAGGATGGAGGTGAGGAGGGAAAGATTGCTGTAGCTTTTAGTTGAAAATAGTCATCAGGAAGTATATAACTGGCAAGGAAAAGAGAAGAGGGAAACTTAGCTATGGATTTACTGTGGGAAAATGACGAATATGAGAAGAGGAATAATAATAAAGCCGCATTCTGCACCATGATTATCTGTTTAGGGGAAAGGTCTACAAAGATCAGAAGAGGATTTAGTTGAGAAAGAATGGAAGACAAGAGGAAATGTGAAGAGGAAAAGTGAAAAGAATAGAGAGGTAAGACAAGATTACTTTTCATAATAACTTCTTTAATAATCTTTGGTCAACATAATAATTCAGAATGAATGAATGTCTATAATAATAGGAATGTTTAGCTCTTCTATGGAGTGTAAGCTACTTGGTGGCAAAGACCTTAACAGATCTTTCAATAATCATGTAACATGATTACATGCACCTTGTAGGAGATCAGGAGACTTGAGGTGTCTGTTGTGGTAACTCTAGAGTAAACTTACCATCAATATATTAATATAAAACAATAGAAATGAATCAGTGACTTCTTTAGTAGGACAACAGGATGCTATAACTATTAATACCTCTTTTTGCAATTTACTAAAAAATACACCTAGTCACTTTTATATTTTTTTCTTTGTACTGTATTTTCTGCATATGTAAACTCATACCCATATAATCCATGTGGAAAAGTTATGGGAAAACCAAGTCTGGTAACAATTCACCGAATTCAAATGTTAAAAGAGTACTTGTGGTGATTTAACACAAATTTAAATTTTGTCATGATTTCAAGCAGAATGAAGCACTCTGCTTTAAAATTTAAAGATAATTAGGAGGAAATGATTTTAATTAAATATAGGCACATATTTGTGTAAGGAGATTTGTGAGGGTGTTTAAGCAACTAAACCGAAAGATTTTGAGTTCAACTCAACAGTAGTCATATGATAGATATCATGAGCCAGTTGATAAGATCACCTCAATCAGGAAAAAAAGAAAATAATAAAGGAAGAGTGATTTTTAGGAAGAAAATAGTCTTACTAATAGTAGCTTTAAGCCACACAAAGCAGCATGGTGACATGACTAACAGTGTGGGAGATATTTTGATACATATACATAATGGGGAATTCCCTGGTAACTCAGTCAATAAAGAATGTCTGCAGTGCAGGAGACCAGAGCTCAATCCCTGGGTCAGGAAGATCCCCTGGAGAAGGAAATGGCAACCCACTCCAGTATTCTTTCCTGGAATATCCCATGGACAGAGGAGCCTGGCTGGCTACAGTCCATGGTGGACATGAGTTGGACACAACTTTGCAACTAAAGCACCACATGATGAGAGACATACAGAGAGTATGTGTTACTTTCAGCTTGATATATAATCCTAGAATCTATGCAAAGAATAGAGTCTTTTTCTAAATAAGTTCTATTTCCTCCCAATACAGAAAATACTTGTACAAAAATATCTATTACTGGACAGTTTCAGGAGCTCCCCTGGTGGTTCAGACAGTAAAGAATCTGCCACCTATATGGGAGACCAAGGTTCCATTCCTGAGTTGGGAAGATCCCCTGGAGAAGGGAAGGGCTACCCACTCCAGTAATGTGGCCTGGAGAATTCCATGGACATAGGAGTCTGGAAGGCTACCATCCATGGGGCTGCAAAGAGTCAGACACAGCTGAGTGACTTTCACTTTTATAATTTTAAGCTAAAAAACATTGCATTTCTGACTTGACTTTAGTTATTCCTTCTAATGGTTCACGTAATAAAATTATTTTCTTGTCCAAATAGCAGAAATGTGTGGTTTTGATGGGAGTAATATTTCATTATTCCATCTCTTTTCCCAACATAGTATTGCTAATTGTAAATCACATAATAATGCTTTCCATTTTTCACCATAGGATTTGGCTTGCTTTAGTTTGAAGTATTTTTTCTTAAGATATGTATGATGAAATTCCTTCAGGGTAACACCCTTGTTTTTATGCCCTATGCAAATGAACAGAAAACTTTAAGTTTTATTTTCTGAGAGTGTTTAGATGTCTATCATTAATTTATACTAAATGAAGAGCATAGTCTTTAGTTTTTCACTGTGGGTTTCCAGTAACTTCAACTTGAACTTATAGAGTATCAGATACACCCAAGCTTGAATGCAAGTCCAAAATGTAAATAACCTTAGTCTTTTCTGCTATATGTGTTTTGTTGACGTATGTTTCATATAAATATACATATTTACATATTTTATCTTCACAGGAATTAGCTGCATGAATTCACATATATTTGTCTATGTCATTGAACTATAAAATTAAATAAAAATCAAATTTTGGGTAAAATAAATTCACAAGTTTAGAAGGTATTGGCATAGGAAATGACAATCCACTCCAGTGTTCTTGCTTGGAGAATTCCATGGACAGAGGAGCGTGGCATGCTGCTGTCCATGGGGTCGCAAGGAGTCAGACACAACTGGGCGATTAACACACACAGAGAACGTGTGTTTATATGATATCCATAAAAAATTATAGCATTGTATTTATGTTTCTGTAACAAAGAAAATAACTCTAAAGCAGAGAAACTCTGACAAACTAGGAAAGGTTTAAGATATTCAAAGGAGAGTCAGCCCTGATTCATTATTTTGTAGAACATCATTAAAAAGTTATTTTGAATGACCTCACTTAATCATCGTGTCACTACAGCTGATTGACCTTAGGTAAGTCACATAGTCTCTTTGATCTCAAATATCCTTGTCTCTAAACTTAAAAGGCTGAGCTTGACAAACTGCCCCCAAATAGAGCTGAGAAAGGGGAAAAAAAGGAGGTTCTAGAGGCTGCATGACCTTTGCTCTGGAAAAGAGAGGCAGCGAGGTACAGGATGTCCCTAAAATGTATTTTATGGTCTGAAAGTGTACTGATAATTTTATATGAAAATCTCAGAAAATTATAATAAAATTAATACATACTTAGTATCCTACAAAGACACAGGAATGCCTATTTAGCAATAATAAATATTTCAATGACAGATACTGTATTAATATAATGCATTATTTTAAAAGATAGTCACGGGATAAGAGAAAGAATAAGATTCAGAATGAAATAGAAACGTTTTAGTAGTAGGCTGCTCCAGTAAAATGTATTCAGGTATCTTCACCTTAACCTTGAACATGTAGTTTCTTATTACCAATATTTAATAAAAGCAAATATGTTTTCCTCAAGATTAGACATAAGTTGATTTTATCTGGATTACTTCTTACAGTGACAGTGCACGGCAATGCTCAGTAATTTCTTTTCGAATGTACTAGATACATTTTTGTAGAACTCTGATTGTGTACTTTTGCTACCCATGAGAAAGTAACATAACACAGCATGGTGGTTAAGATTATGAATTTTAGAGCCACATTAACTGGATCTAAACCTTGGCTCTGATACTTGCAAGTTGTAGGGCTTAGGGTAGTGACATGAGCTCTTCGTGAGAGTTTCTTCATCCAGCTTTTGTGAGGGTAAGTGGTGGGTTGGATATGAAAGAACACAGCCCAGTGTCAGACACAAAGTTAAGTACTATAAAAGTGCTAACTGTTTGACATCATAATTATCTTTTTTTTCCCATTTTTTTATTATATAAATGAATATATTCAATTAGAATTTTTCATGTGTCATAACCTTACATATTTAGGCTATGGATTTCACTAGTCACACTAAGGTCTTTTTAACAGGAAGGGCTGGGATAAATGGAAATCTACATTTAACCCATCATGAATCATAAAATGTACCTCATTTCAAATATAATGAAAAGCAGAATATATTCTTCAAGACTCTGTTTACAATGGATGAAAACTTTCTAACAAGAGATAAAACCTGCATGTTTCAGATATGGAATAAAGCATTTAATCCACCTGTGAAACAAATATGCATTAAAAGTCTGTCTCCATGACATTGAACATCCTCTTCTATAAATATGAAACTGTCCCTGCTCTCAAGGAGTTTACAGTCTGTAGAAAAGATATAAATTATCATATGCAATTATGCTCCAAGGAAATAAGAAACTCGGTGATATTCAAAGAGAGATGATGGGGAGAAGTCACAAGAAAAGCACCATATAGCACATAAGAGGGGGCAAATTTGGAGTAGGGCAATGCAGGATGAATAGGACAGAAGGTGAACATTCCAGCCAGAAGGAATAGTGTAAGGAAA